GGGGCGACAGATTTGGGGCATTGCTCGAGGGCAGTGAGTCATGAAAGCGGCTTTTGTTGCTTGCGCGTGCTGTTCGCGTGCAGCCCAGCAGCCTGCAGAGCCCAGTGGGGCCCGGAGCTGGAGCTGGAGCTGGAGGGCCGCTAACGGGCGGCTGGGGCAGAGGGAGAGGGGGGGTTTAGGGAATCGGGAGGGGAAAGCGGGCAACCGTCGGAACAAAGTTCAAAGGGAAGAAAACAGGCGGGGCGGGGCCTCGGCGTCGGTCGGCGACGATCCTCTCCAGGCGGCCCCGACGCCACGTCGATTGCCCCCCTTCCCCTTCCCCCTCCCAACAAAAAGCACCTCAATTTAGGCTTGATCTGGACCCCCCTCTTCCGGGACTGGCTGCCCGGCTGCGGCCTCCCGGGGGCCCGGCGGGCTCTCAGCGCACCTAGGCAGGCGCGGGGGAGGCGTTCCCCGCACCGAGGCGGGTCGGCTCCTGAGCGCCCTGGGCCCGGAGGCCCAACCTCGCCAGGTTTCTGGAACATCCAGGAGGGGCCTTTTCTTTGTACAAATCCCCTGGCCTGGGCGAAACGACCGGCAGTGGGATTAGGGGTGAATTTATCAGGAGAGGGAGAGAACACATCTAATAATTCCCGCACTTTGCGCATTAGGATCTCGGCTGGTGACAACCGGGTTCACTACCCACCCCTCCCAGCCGGAGAACAGCTGGCTCCAGCAAGAATTCCCTGTACTCCACAGGATGTCGCAGACTGGGGCAGTTTCTTCTTCTGGGGGTGGGGGCAGGAGGGGGTAATTCCCTAGGCCGCCCTCGGGCCTCCGGGGCCGCTGGTGCCCGCTTTCACTCCGCCCCCAACTTCTCGTCCGCGGGCTGAGAAACGCGAGCCGGGACACGAGTTCCGCAACCCGGACACACGGTGGGCTGGCCCGTCGGGGCCGCTGCCAGGACAGTGGCACCGCTTGGTGCGTCCCCGCCGCAACTGTCCCCGGACAGCCGAGTTGAGGACGGGTGTCTGCAGCTGCTCCTCTGAGGCCCCTCAAATTTTAACCTATCACTAAAGATACAGGGGTAACTACTGAGACTAGGTGCTTGAATTAATTCTTGTATTCTCCTCTGTGCTTTTTGTACACCGAGGAGAGAACGCAGAAAAGCAGAACTCCACACAGGTTGCTCTGGAAACTCAGCACAATTCATGCCACCCTTTGGGCCACTGGTCAACTCACACACCCCTTTATTCCGCTTCCAGATTTGCGCCAGACGGGGAAAGCTGCGGCCTCCACTTTCCAGACACCAGCGGTCCCCTCAGGACCCTCTTCGCACTCCCCCCCTACCCACGGCATCCCCCCTCCTGCTCCCAGATGCACCCAGCTCCAGCCGCTCAACCCTGACACTGTTTGCAAACTCAAGGGGCTTTTAGAGCAATTGCCTTTAAATAAGCAATTCAAGTTCGATGCATTCATTGCAAGGGGCTACTGGGCCTGGGAGGGGATAGGGGGTTAGTTAACAGAGGATTAGAGCTGGTTGAGACCTAGTGGACAGGGAAGGGTCAGGCTAACCC